ATATTATTCTCAGCATACCAAGTTCATCCATTAACACGTGCAAACGGATATACTTGTCATGACAGAGATCACTGGATAATAAATTGAATCTGCGGTAGCACTGAATTATAATCTCCACCAAACTGGAAGGAACAGCCCCACAAGCGGGAGAAAAATCAGCAACCAAACAAAGGAATGTTTCTGTAAATCTTCAAATGACTTGATCGAAACTCACGGAGATTCACACAGACCTAACAGTTCGAACATGGTCCAACATCCTTCCTTGAGGCTTGTCATTAGCAAGAATAATAGCTGATCACTGTCTAGATACCTTGAACAAAGGTCTGGAGTAGGAGTCCGAGATGGTCTTTTCACGAGTTCTTCTTTGAGTGGTTGAATGTACTTCACTCCAAATCCTAATGACTCCGCCAGCTTAAAAAAAATAGTTCATAATTGCAAAAGAGTGTGTTCATGTATACGAAAGGGTCTGCGATTAGATAAGTTTTCTGTTTCAATAACAACTCCGAATATCCAAAATTCACTAAGCAGGCGCACAAGAACAATCGAACGATGTCCGCATAGAGAATACGAAAAATGTAGGGGAAAAAGAAGGGAACTTTGGCATGAAACTAAGAAAGCGGAGCTTAAAAAAACAAAGCATAGGCCTCTGTACTCAAGACTATGGGAAAAAAACGAGTTTGGAGATTATTTCCTATTAGTCCACCTTTTGCAGTAAGAATCAAGCTGATTTCGACACAACTGCTGCAATTTTACTTTTTACCGTTCTATAAAAATTTTGAATTTTTTGGAGCTCACCTCCTTTTTAGCTGTGCAAGCAGCTTTTCATGATAAGGCTACTTTTCAAAAGATGTATACCAGTACAAATCATTTTGGGGAAAAAAAAAACCTTTCAGCAATAAATAAGGAGCTCGTGTGCAACTTTGGAAGCATACTGAGAACACAGTGGAGGGAAAAAGAGGATAAACGAACTGCATGGATGTCAAGAGTTAGTCAAAGTCCTTAAGCAAATGCTCTAGGAAAGCACCAAAGATCAAAAGCATAAATGATTCAAATGCTACCTATGTATTGAAAATGCAGACCTCAACGGCTGGTAGTGTTCCATCCAACCTGTAGACGTTCGTGACAGGCTCCTGTGATGTGCCCTCGTCCTCGAACGGCAATTCCATTGCGTTGCGCATAGATCTGCGCAGAAAGCAATCGTTAGTTCCCAAAAAAAGACCCGAGGTATGCGGACCAGGTCGGTGATGAGTCTTACCGGTGTGTAAAACAACCTGAGACAATACATAACAGTACCTAACTGTAGGCAAAAAGTACAATGAAAACCTGATTTATCAAAAAGTCCACAGTCTCCACAATATCAAGCATATTCTCAAGTTCAGCAGTTGCATCTAGCAGATTTCTTCTATCGTCCCAGTGAGAAAAAGTAATTTCTTGCAATGAAAGCTTGAAATGAATCGAAGATAATCAAATAAAGAACGACTTATATGGCAGCAGCCGCGCAAAGTCAATTTAGTAATTGGAGAGATTAATTTATTAAGCTTTTAATAGAACTCACTGAAGAATACGCCTCGATTCTATCAAACAAATCACAGAATACAGTAGCAACGTCTGCCACTCTGGAACGAAGGTGATGAGCTAACCAAGAATTACCGTTTGTTAACAGAAACAAACGTTTGCTCGGCGTCAAAAGATATTTCTATCGGAGTCGGCGGAGTGCAGATAGCTTCATGTGGAATAGAATTAATTTTTGTTTCTACCTCAGCCAGTCTCTGGGCCATCTATAATAGTTACAGTGATACAAATTGGTAGAGATAACAGATCTAACTAGCGAGATAAAGAAAAAAGAGACAATTTTTAAAGACGTGCTAGTGCAGTTAAGTGCTCAAAAAATCAAAGAAAACAGCTTCGTTTCGCACATGAC